GGATCCTTTTTTAGTTATTTAACATCATTTTGCAGCATTTGAAAACTTCCAGCCTGCTGTTAATCCTCCTGTGATCAGTCCAACACCCTGTTTGAAAATAGGGAAAATGTTTGATCAAGATGTGAAAGTACAACATTAACAATTACAGTTGTGTTATAATTATATGTTTTGGTTGTGTAGAGTAGGATCTTTCTTTTTTATGTTATTACTGCATTAGGTTGTCATTTCATCACAAGATCATGTTTTTCTTCCATTTCATGGTAACCAAATATTTTCTATTTGAAGTTGTTCAGTTATGAAATTTCTCTATTAAGATTTTATGTTCAATACAAGTATCTTCAGTAACTCATTTCCCATGCTGCATGTAAAAAGTGATGTGTAATCAACAAGAGTTTTCACCAACGAAGAAGAATTGGTGGAGTTAGGTTTCAAAATTCCAATTTCTCACTTCTCATTTGTACCTAGAAATTTCAGTAGATATATTACAAGGGGACTGGTCCCTTACCCTATTAACCCTTGTAAGAGTGACCGGCGTCTAATTTCTCCTTACCGTTATACTGCTGAATCATTCATTATGATCATGAGAATAAAGGAAATGATCGCCAAACCAACAACCTTTGATTGTCAAACGAATTCTCCTCTTCAATACCAAAGGAAATGTGTAAGGAATAGTATGGAGAATATGGATACTGATGTTAGGGTGTTGAGAGTTAATTTGAATAAAACGAGGGGCTAGACGCTCCACACTACCCTCCCCAAATTTCTCCCTGTTCTCATCTTTTACCTGTTCTGATCGCATGTTGACTGTTGTAGCGAAACTGAAGATGGCCGGCATGTGATGATTGAAGATGCCATATTAGAGAAGTGCATTGAGAATGGAGCAGGTGTTGTTCACATAGCAGTGGAAAAGAGTTCCAGCGAGGTACGATACATTTTTTTACCTTCGTAATTTTTGTGTTGTTCTTCTTCCTATGTTCCTATTATTGCCGCGAACTGTGACTAACATTTGAAATATGAACCTTTAATCCAAAATCCGTCACGAAGGCTTTGAGAAAACTCTCAAAAAATTTTTCATTGTTTAACCTAACATTGAGACCAAGAAAATCGAAAAGATGAACGTGATAAAGAGGTTTAAACTCGGTGCCCTCGTGGCACCGTTCCAGGATGCCCGCCACCGCGCATGCACAAAAATGTCCCGTATTGGTAACCAAGCGACGGCTGGGCGTCGACCAGCTGCAACACCCATCTTGACTCGTGAAATACATGGTTATGGTTTGTACTGGTATATTTCTTTCAGGGATGTGTTTAATTATTTTCCCGCTAACGGTGGGTTTAATCTTTGATTTGTAGGTCGTCTTGTTACGGTCAAATATCTCACTTTGAAGCGCTACCATCAGCGTTTCCCTGTGGCTCTGGAAGCCACC